GGGGGGGGGGGGGGGGGGGGGGGGGGGGGGGGGGGGTAGGAAACAGGCAGAAGACAAGACAAATCCGCAATTAAATTCCGCGTCAGGTGGTGATGTTGGCATGAAACCAAACGGGAAGGTTGGGCGGGAGTCACAGCCTTTTAACAGGTCAGGGAGGCTGTGACCTGTGAGAGGGGACAGAGGGAGCCAGGGGAAGAGCCTTCCAGACCCGATCGTTGTTCTTCCAAATAGCCCAAAAGTTAGACACTGTGGTCCCATTTCACAGATGGGGACTGAGGCACATAGAGGTTAAGTGACCTGCCCAAGGTCACAGTGCTGGGAAGCCACAGAGCTGGGAGTTGACCCCTTGTTCTTCTGCCTCCAAAGCCCAGGCCCTGGGCCACCCATCGCCTTAGGCTCTTCCTTTGCAAACTGGGAATCAGAATTTCCACACTTCACACCCTGTGACACTCAGCAGCGGGCGGTTCCGACATAACTGTGATTGGATTTTCTGAACGAATGGTCTCCCCCATGTGCAAAGGTGGGGTCAGCCATGTGCAAAGGTGGGGTCAGCCGTGAGGGCCAGCAGTGCCTCAGGCTCAGAGAGGTGGGCCGCCCGTCTGTGAGGTTGTGGACGGTGGAATCAGCAGCCAGAGGCACGGGAAGGAGGGAGCCTGCTGATCCTAGGGTTGAAGCTTAGGGAAGGCTTCCTGGAGGAGGAGGGCTCAGCGCTCTGCCCGAAGCCTCAGGAAGGGGAACGGAACCCTGTGCCGTGGCCAAGTGTGTCCTTTCTCCTTCCGCAGGGACAAGCTGGCCGAGCTTCACGGAAACATGTTCGTGGAGGAATGCGCCAAGTGTAAGACGTGAGTGCCCCTCCCCCCCGGGAGGGAGTTGCTTGTGACATTGCCAGAGACCCAGGGAGGGGCGGGGCTGGGCCAGAGCTGAGGCTGGGGCTGTCAGCACAGAGCCCTACGCCGGGCTCCAACCCGTGAACTGTGAGATCGTGACCCGAGCCAAAGTCGACTTAACCGACAGAGCCCCCCGGGCGCCCCTTGGCTCCCAGCCCAGAAGCTAGACGTCCAGAATGGGTCCCATGGAACCCTGTGGGGGAGGCTCCTGTCTGCCTCCTGGTGTCTTCTGGATGTTTCTCAGAGTCTTGTGCCCCTCCGCTCACCCACCCCTCACGCCACCCCCTTCCTCGCTGCGTGTCTGCCTTTTCTTACAGGGACGTCAGTCCTGTTAGGTTAGGGCTCATCTTAACCGCACACCTGCAGTGATCCTGTTTCCAAATAAGGCCCTAAAGTCTCGGGGCTCAGTACTCCCTATCTTTTTGGGGGACACAATTCAGCCCGTAACAGAGTTTGACAGGAAGGACCACCTGCTCGGTCACCCCCTCCCACCCTCCAGCCAGAGCCCTTCCTGGAGCCTTCTGGATGTGTCTCCTGCCCGCCTGCTGAGTGGCCGCACAGGCCGGGTCCCCCCACTGCAAAAAAAAAATTTTTGTCCCCTAATATATCTTGAAAACTTTCAAATCTATAGAAGACTCACAAGACTAGTAGGAGGAACTCCTGCTTCACCTAGACCAGGGCTCAGCAAGCCTTTTCTGGAAGGAGCCAGATGGTAACATGTGTTCAGCTCTGTGGCCCAGACAGTCTCTGTTACGACTGTGAGCTCTGCTCTTGTGGCGTGAAAGCTGCCATAGACCACACGGAAAGGAATGGGCATGGCCGTGTGCCAATAAAACTTTATTTGTGTAAACAGGAGGCTGGGGGCCAGAGTCCATCCACAGGGCCGTCGCTCGCCATCCCGACTAGGTTCGACAGTTGTTACCATTTTGCCACAGCGTGTTGGTACTTGCTGTGCAGTCGAGGAGGAAGTAGCAGACTGCTGGTCATCCCCCCAGCCTGCCCCCCCCAGCCCGCCAGACCTGTCTCTCCCAGGACTGCGCTCTTCTGCCCCTTGGCCGCGGCGCCGTAAAGGAAGACTGGAGTGCGATGCCTTGGCGCCTGGCCTGTGGTCCCCGTGGCTTCTGGTTCTTTTGTTTCCCGGTCCGGGATCCAACCCAGAGTCACGCTTTGCGTGTAGTTATCACGTCTCCTCGGGCTCCTCTGTCTGCAGCGCTCCTGACCCTTCTGTCTCCATGCTCTTGGCATCAGGGTGCAGCCAGGCCAGTGGTGGAAGCCTCCCGTCCCCCGCTCTGGGTTTCTGGGATGTTTCCTCGTGCTGAGACTCTGGTGTGGCCCCCGTTTCCCTGGGGACAACACTCCCCCGCAAAGAGCAAGAGCGGTGCCGGCGGGACCCCTGAATGGGCGCCTGGGGAGCAGGCGGTGGGCTGACCCGGCCCCCACGGGCCCCTCTTCCTCCCTCAACACAGGCAGTATGTCCGGGACGTCGTCGTGGGCAGTATGGGCCTCAAGGCCACGGGCCGGCTCTGCACTGTGGCCAAGGCCAGGGGGCTGCGGGCCTGCAGGTGAGTGACCCTTCACTGTGCCCGGGCTCCAGGCGCAGGGGCTCGTCTCCGTCTGACTCCCCCTCCCCCACTGCAGGGGGGAGCTAAAAGACACCATCCTGGACTGGGAAGACGCCCTGCCTGACCGGGACCTCACCCTCGCCGAAGAGGCCAGCAGGTCTGACCCCCCGCTGAGCCCAGACCCTCTCCGGGCCCCACTGGCCCAGCTAGCGACAGAGCCTTCTCACACACCCACCCCACCCTGGTCTCATGCGACAGGCGACAGGCGGGGAAACAGGCTGCAGCGAGCGGACACCTCCGTCCAATGAGCCCTGGGTGCTGAAGGTCACGGCTGCATCCGCAGTCCCGCTTCTGGCTGGGTGGGGAGGCCGCTCTGGCAGATGGGAAGGGGCAGGGGCCGTGGGCGCCCTTGACTGCAGAGAAGGGTGCGGAAGAGCTGACCAGGCTGGTCTGGGCGTGTTGCAGGAGCATGAGGTGGGGGTGGGGCCAGGGGGCTGGAGCCAGGAGGGGCTGGCGGCCTCCCCCGCCTGTGGGGCAGGAGTGGGGCTGCAGAGACCTTTGTGGAGGGGTGGGGGTGGACGGGGCCCGGGCCGACCCTCCCTTCCTGGCCCAGGAACGCAGACCTGTCCGTCACTCTGGGCACCTCCCTGCAAATCCGGCCCAGCGGGAACCTGCCCCTTGCCACCAAGCGCCGCGGAGGCCGACTGGTCATTGTCAACCTTCAGCCCACCAAGCATGTATGTGCTGAGCCCACCGGACGTGCGCCCCGCTCCAGCCTCCCTCCCCTCCAGACCCCTGCCTGAGCCCAGCCCGTCTTTGCCCCCGCAGGACCGCCATGCCGACCTGCGTATCCATGGCTATGTGGATGAGGTCATGACCAGGCTCATGGAACACCTGGGCCTGGAGATCCCCACCTGGGACGGCCCTCGGGTGCTGGAGAGGGCGCTGCCCACCCTGCCCCGCCCGCCTGCCCCCAAGCTGGAGCCCAAGGAGGAGGCGCCCACCCAGCTCAACGGCCCAGCACCCGCCAGCCCCAAGCCCGAGCCTTCCGCCGAGCCCTGCACCCAGCACAATGGCTCGGGGCTTACCAGTCCCAAGAGGGAGCAGCTGGACAGTCCTGCACCCCACAGGCCCCCCAAAAGGGTGAAGGCCGAAGAGGTTCCCAGCTGACCAGGGGGCCTGGGGAGGGCGGGGCGTTTTGTAGAAACCGTGGAGTCGTCTTTTCTTACTGTTTTCACTGTTACCTGTATCTCCCCTCGCGGGTGGGGGGCAACCTCAGGGTGCTGAGAGCTGGGCTCCAGGCCCCAGGCAGGCCCACCCCCCACTGCCTGTCTCTTTATCTCGAGGGGCCTCTGGTGTGGGCCTGGGGGGGAGCGCTTTCACCCTGGACACAGACCTTGGAGCTGACCCCCAGGCACCCGCTTCTCCCTGTGCCCCGGCCCCTGACTCAGGATGCTCTGGGGAGGAGTGGCCAGGCCCTCCCTAGCTCCCAGCCCACGCAAAAGTTAACTCCCTCTGCCCGGGGCCCTCACACCCCCAATCCCCTGTCTCCCCCAAAATCGCCTTCTTGGTCCGTCCAAGAGGTAAGGGAGGCAGAGCCACTTTTAGGAGCCAGACTTCATGGGGGGGGGGCCACAGGCAATGGAGGCTTGCACTGCCTCTGGGGCTAGAGGGAGAAAAAGGTGTGTCCACCTGGCTTCCTCCAGACTTCCAGAAAACTCTTCAATGCAATAAAAGCAGAAATTCTTGCATCCGAGTCTGTGTTTAACACCCATAACCTTGTGCCGGGTCCCAGTCCCGGGGAGGAGGTGGGGAGGGCAGGGGGTGCCGACAGCGTGGTTCCCTTCCCCCACCCCGCAGAGTCGGCCTGGGCCTCCCCGCAGTCCAGGCCTGGGGGCCACAGCGCAGCTGGCGTTCCTGATTACATGCTCATGTGCATGGTTCCTGAATATTCGCCCTCCGCTACCGGGCTGTGAGCCCCTTGAGAAGAGCTACCGGCGGCCTTCACCTCGTTGCAGCCAGGACCCCCACCTCCCCGCACCTGCGCAAAGCGGGCGGGGCAGCGCGCATTAGGAGAGCGCGGCCACAGCCGGGTTCCAATCAGATCCCTCCACTTCCGATGCCTCAGTCTCCTCATCCGTCGATGGAGCGAGGTGGGCAGCACCCCCCCTTCCAGCCCCCAGGAAAGCAGCTGTCCTAGACCTTCCGAGGACACCATGAAGGGCCTCCTGGGGTCCCCGGAGACCTCGGGCTTCAGGCGCGCGTGCGCTCTGCTCGCGGCCGCTCTCCAAGGTGCTGAAGACACTCGCGGCGCCCGGCCGGCAGCCTTTCCAGCCTAGTGGGGTCCGGGGCGCCCGCACCCCAATACCCCTTCCCAGGCTGGCCCAGACGCTCCGTCCAGGAGTCGAGGAGCCCTAGACTCCGCTTTGTGCCAACGTGTTCTGTCAAAATACTTTATTAAGGATCACTGCAATCGTAGAAAAGAGGGGCGGCTGTGGGCTACGGCTCTGGGGCCAGGGTCCCCGCAGAGACCCTTCTCTTCCCTGTGCGCAGGGGGCAGGAAGGAGTCCCGGGGCAGGGGAGTTGTCGAGGCATGGCGTGTGCGTGTGTCTGTGTGAGACTGCGGATCACTCTGTATGTGCCTGTTTCTTCCTTTGCCTGGGTCTGTATCTCTCAGGCTTTGTGGCCCTGCGGCTGCCTGTGTCTGAGCGTGTTCTGTGTGTACTTGGGTCCGTGAGTGCATGGCTGTGAGTTCGCGCATCTCTATCCTGGCACTTCCGCCAGGGTCTCACCTCACCCCCATGCCTGTCGCTGTCCACAGAAGGGCCCCTAAGCAGGAAGGCCTGGGGGCACGTCCGGAGGGTGCTCACAGCTCCTCCCCCGCCGCCTCCAATCCCACGCGCCCAGGGCTGAGCGCTGGCTCGGCCGCAGTCCAGTCCAGCAGGGTGGTCCGACTCAGCTTCTCCGTCGAGTTGTCAGGGATCAGGGTCGAGTTGCCCAGCTCTTCCGTCAAGTTGTCCAGAGCTGACGTGCCCTGAGATTCCCAGTCCGCCCTGGGGCTGCCTGGAGGCCCTTCTGGGGATGCACCAGCTTTGGGCAGTGGTCCTGGGGCCTCGGAGCCTGGTGTGGCGTCGGGGGCCACACGGGACGCAGCGTCGTTGTGCAAAGTTCTGGAGAAAACTGAGCAAGGGTTGGGAGGGTCATGAGGGCTGGGGCTGGGGCTTGAAGTCCCTCCGTTCCCTAACCCCAGCCTCAGGGAGCAAGGGGCTCCCCCACCACACCCCAGAGTCCCAGGACAAGGGCCTGGAGACCCAAGGGGATTGTGCCCATGGGGCAGCCCGGAGCGTTTCGGAGAGCAGAGCATCCCCGGCCCACCTACCTCGAACAGGTGCGTAGTCCCCAGCGCTTTCGGCTTTGTTGGCAACAAAAGGGCTAATGGAGGGCAGGACGATGAGGGCGAAGGAGAGAAGCAGGACCTGGCGGAGATGGGAGAGGTCACCCCATCCCCCTCCCTGTGAGCAGAGAGGCCACCCCCTCTCCCCTCCCTGTGAGCAGAGAGGCCACCCCCTTCCCCCTCCCTGTGAGCAGAGGGGCCACCCCATCCCCCCTCCCTGTGAGCAGAGAGGCCACCCCCTCCCCCTCCCTGTGAGCAGAGAGGCCACCCCCTCCCCCCTCCCTGTGAGCAGAGAAACCGAGTCCCAGAAGATGGGACGGTCCTTCAACCAAAGCTTGCGCTGCACTCATCTCCCCCACACAGACCCCTTTGCCAAGGCCGGGGACCCCCTTTATCCTGGGGGCCAGGACTTACCGCGATGCAGGTGCCTGTCTGGGCCGACTTGCTGGTGGACTGGACCACAATGGCCTGGAGTTTCTTCAGCTGCTCCAGGAGGGACCTTGGCGGGAACGGGCAGGCCTTGGCTGAGCCCCACGGGGCCGTGATCTGGTTCCCATCCATTTCTGGGGTCCCCCAGCCTGGCTGATGTCTGAACCCCATTCATCCCTCATGGCCCCACTGGTCCTCAAAGTTCCAGACTCTCCCTCTTGGCTTCAATAAATCTCCTTGAACATCCCACCCACTTGCACCCACTCACTTCTCTGCCACCCCACCTCCGCGATCCAGGCCGCCATTATCTCTCACCAGCACCCCAGCCCCAGCCTCTATCTGGACCCCCAAGGCCTCTCCTGCTCCCCTAGGGTCCATGCTCCAAGTAGTAACTAGATGGCACTTTTCAGATGTGAATGGGCATCTCTCAACCCTCCCAGCACTCCCAGCTCCCTGGGGTAAGAGTCAAGTCCTCCCCATGGGCCCCAAGGCTCCCCCACATGACCTGCCCCACCCCCTCCATGTCCTCCCCTCCTCCCTCTCTCTCCCCCACGCTCACTTACTCTGCTCCAGCCACACGGGCCTCCTGGCTGTTCCTCCAACACTGGGGCCCAATGCTACCCCAGGACCTTTGCACATGCTGGTTCCCTCTGTGCCAAAAACACTATTCCCCCCGATCTTTTTTTTCGTAGCTGCTTCCTTCTCATCCATCAGGTCTCATCTCCAAAGTCATCTTATCTGACCTCCCTGCCCAGAATTGCCCCCACTCGCTCTCCAGGGCCTTCACCCTGCTTCACTCTTCTCCTCAGTGGCTAGCACTATTTGAATAATCTTTTATGTGTTTCCATTTGTCTCGAGTACATCGCCCACCAGACCATGAGCTCTTTAAGGAGGGAGAGTGGTTCCAGTGCCCAGAACTACGCCCGGCACGGACTAGATGCTAAATAAATACTAAGTGGATGCCTGCACCCCTCTGACGGAACCGGACGCGGTTCTCCAGCACACCATGCCCCCGGGCCTCTGGCCGTTCGTCTGCCGTTTCCTCCCCCACAGACACCCCTCCCAATCCCAAGTGCCCTCCTCTCTGCAGCTGCACCCCTGCTAGGTGGAGCCCTTACCCCCTGCTCTGCTTGGCCATCACAGAGGCTGTCCCCCACATTGCCCACCCCTCCTGCAAGGGACTCTGGGGGCTGCCCCCCCTCCCCCCGGCCTCCCCCTGTCCCTCTGCCACAGCTGGACCAAGACTCACAGATTCTGCTTCTCGAGATGCAAGACCTTCCTCTGAAGCTCCTGGTTCTGGGCAGTGCAGGCTGACATCCTGCAGGGACAATGTCACAGTGACATTCACAATACGCATGTCACCAAGTAGCTCAGCTGACGTCTCCCTGTGGGGCCCCACTTTACAGGCAGGGAACCCACGGCCAGAGAGGGGGGGGTCACTCATCAAGTCACCCAGTGAGTCTGCGGACAGGGCCCAGATGCGAAGCCAGGTCTGCCTGGCTCCTAGACCCCATGTCTGCACGGATGTGGGGGCTTCGCTCCGGTCTGGGCCCCCAGGATGGGGAGTGGAATGCCAAACTCGGGCAGCGATGCTTCCAGAAGACTGAGTGGTAAGATGACGGGGACTCCAAGGGAAACCAGGTTACAATCCGCACCCTCCCTGTGACTTCAAGCCACTCTACCTTCTGACCTCAGTCCCCTCACCTGTGAAATGGGGCTACAATTAACCTAGTTCACAGAGCATTTGGGAGAACAACTTGAAATGAAGTTGATCAGGGGCTTCGCAGATTCCATCTGGGGAATAAGACGATGGACTAAGACAATCCATCCAGGGGCTCCCAGGTGCAGGCTGGGGGGCCCACCTTTCCTACCTGCATCCATCTGCGTCTGGCCCAGACCACCCAGATGTGGGACGGAAATACTCAAATCCCAGCGTGAGGCTATGTCCCACAAAGAGAATGCACTCCCCCACTGAAAGGCCCTCCTTCTGGATGATTCACAGGATAAAAAAAGATTCCGGGACATCAATTAGGGAAGACTCAAAGACCAGATGGTAACGACAATTGTGTAAATCGCCACTCAGGAGGTGCAGCCGACACAGTACCGAGAGGAACAGACCTTCACCCACCTTTGTCCAGCTCAGCAAGCTAGACGCACACATATTAAAACTTAGCAAGAGAGCAACACAGCCACTCCCCCCAAATAAAACATCACGGGGGGGGGGATACCAAAGCTAAGAGCAGAAACGAAAAGAACTAGAATATAAAAGTACAGGTGGGTGGGAGGTAAAAGGCAGAAAGCCACGCTTTGAAAAGAATACTTCAATAAATAAGTCTCTAGCAAGATTAATCAAGAAGATAGGGCGCCTGGGGGCCTCAGTCGGTTAAGTGTCTGACTTCGGCTCAGGTCATGATCTCATGGTTCATGGGTTCGAGCCCCGCGTCGGGCTCTGTGCTGACTGCCAGCTCGGAGCCTGGAGCCTGTTTCAGTCTGTGTCTCCCTCTCTCTCTGACCCTCCCCTGCTCACGCTCTCTCTCTCTCTCTCTCTCCTAGAAATAAATAAAAACATATTTTAAAAAAAAATGAGTATGATGCTGATAGCACACAGCTCAGCAAACTAAAACGAGAGAACTAGGAACCACCGGATGTCGACACACTTGCAACGCACAGCTTCCCAGACAAGGACGGCATCTCGGAACCCACTTGGGAAGAAACAAGACCCCCAGGCCGACCTGTAACCCCCGTCAGGTCAGCCCCGGTTTAGAAAGGGCGCTTGCCCACTGCTATGCTTCTGTTAAAGAAGAAAAAGGAGCCTGTCCCCTTAAATGAGTTGAGAGAGAGGAGATTAGACGAAAGCAGGAAAGTTCTGCCAAGAATGCTCTCCCCTCTGTCCCTGCCACACACAATCAAGGAGGCCACGGCAGCTCTGAGGACCCGTGATGCCCACACAGGGCGGTAAGCACCCCGTCTTCAGGCAGGGCGCCAGGACAGATGGGAAATACGTTCTCCTTTCTCGGGGCCTCACGCTCTAGGGGATAAAGGGACCCCGAGACCGACCTCTGCCATCTCTAGGCGTCTCCCTATCCTTGTAATTCGCACGACAAATGACCGCTCCTCGAGGAAGAAAACCTCTAATTCTGTCGCCCCCCCCCCAAAAGTGTGACCTTAGCCCCCTGGCACGGCTCTCCCCGGTGCCCTTGCCCAGGGCCTCCCGGACCCCAGCCTTACCGAGTTTCCAAGCCGTCAATATATTCCTTCTTCTTCTTCCGGCTCTCTTGGGCCGACTGCTTGTTCCGGATTTTCCGGCGGATTTTTTTCAGCACTCGCTCCTCATACTGCGCAGTGACACGGAGAGGGGGGTCCAGCCATGCTGTCTGGAGCCCCCCGCCTCACCCCTGCTCTTCCCGTGGGAGCCCCCCTAGACCCAGGGATCCGGGGGCAAGACCCCCGAGACTGAAGACGGCTCTCCTCCCCCTGAACTCGTGCAAAGTTTCCCGGGGTGGGGGGGGCGGGAGGGGGGGGTCCTGGGTCCTGAGGATTTGCCCAGATCCCAGCCCCAGGTCGGAACTGGCTCCCAGACGCTGCGCGCTGGTGCGGTTGCGCCACCTCCCGGCCGCGCCTGGGAACAGCGCCTCAAACCCAGGTCTCGACAGGGAGTGAACCAGGCTGGGTGGGGGGCTGCGGCGAGCTAGCCGCGCGTGGAGGGGTGGGCGCACGGGGGCCACAGTCGTGGACTCGGTGTGGGAAGGCTCCTGGCCGGAGAAATGTTAGCGACCGGTTCAAACAAGCACAGAATGCGGCACCGCCCGGGGGAATACGGGACGTCCAGGGGGGCGCCGGTCGCCCCTTTGTGAGCCCCGGCAGGCGGGGGGCTAGGATGAAGCGTGACCCCAGGGCGCGACCCGCGGCTGCCCGTAAGTCCCCCCTCGGTTCCCGGAGGTCCTAGCTCTTGTGCAGGCGGGGCCCCGCGGGAGACTCAGGGCAGGCGCTGCAGGCGGGGGGGGGGCGGAGCCAGGGCCCCCGGCCCGCCTCGGTGAGGGGCAGCTGGGTGGGCGCGGGGCCCCGGCTCACCTTGGTGAGGGGCAGCTGGGTGGGCAGGGTGAGGCCTTCCTTGGCCAGGAGCTTCTTCTCGTCCTCCGTCAGCACCAGCTCCTGCAGGTCGCGGCGGGGCTCGGTCGCAGGCCGCGGCAGGCGAGGGGCCGCCAGGGGGCGCTGGTGCTGGGGGGGAAGTGGGGCCATGGCTGTAGGGGCCGCGGAACAGCCTCTGGGAAACGACCCCAGGCCCGAGGCCCTAGCGGCTCTTCCGCTGTGGGGGCCCCGCTGCACTAGGGCCGAGACGAGCCCATCCCACAGGCACCCTCGCGCGGAGCGTCCACGCAGGCTCTTCTTCCGCTTCTCCTACACTCCTTTGACTCCAACCCACCTGCTCTAGGCCGGGCAGTTCTGGGCTCTGAAACGCCCCGCAGTCTGGCTGCAGCGGCGAGTGTGACCCACAGAGCGGAGGGGGGAGCACCACACAGCTGTGAAACGGATGGGGTCCCCCCCGCCCCCAACACACACGCCATGATATCAGGCAATCACCACAATAAACCCTCAAGTTACAAAATACAGGGGCGCCTGGGGGGCTCCGTCGGTTAAGCTTCCAGCTTCAGCTCAGGTCATGATCTCACGGTCCGTGGGTTCGAGCCCCGCGTCGGGCTCTGTGCTGACAGCTCGGAGCCTGGAGGCTGTTTCCGATTCTGCGCCTCCCTCTCTCTCTGACCCTCCCCTGCTCACCTGTCTGTCTCTCTCAGAAATAAATAAACTTTAAAAAAGGAAAGAATTTTGTTCTCACAGTGCCAACGTCTTAGAAATGTCACCCTGTGGAAGGGCACATTCTGGACCTAGAATTCCAGCCCACTGATCAGCCCAACCACTTCCTCGGCCCCGAAACGGGGCACTGAGTGGGTTGTCAGGCCTGGCTTACGGGCACTCGAAGCCGTTGGAAAGACAGATGGCCCTTGGTCAGTGTGCAACGGCCCAACAGGCCAGCCCAGGGACTGAGCCAGTGGGGCTGCTGTGTGGCTTAAGGCAAATTACTGACCCTCTCTGTGCCCCTTTCCTCAAAGGCAAAATGAATATAACAAGAGCCCCAACCTTTAGGGTTGCTGTGAATTGAAAGATGATACATTGATGAGCCTGGAGGCTCCGTCGGTTGAGCGTCCGACTCTTGATTTCAGCTCAGGTCACAATCCCAGGGACGTGTGATCGAGCCGTGTGTTGGGCTCCATGCTGAGTGTGGAGCCTGCTTGGGGCTCTCTCTCCTCTCCCTCTGCCCCTCTCCCCTGCTCTCTCTCTCTCTAATAATAATAATAACAATAAAAGATGATACCTTTAAAGCATCTAGAAGAATGTCTGGCCAATAGTAGGTACTTCATAGGTTTTAGCTATTTGAAAAAATGTTATTATTACTACCGCGACGGCAAGCGCCCCACCCTGTGTGTGACTCAGTCTTGCCGTCTCTGAAATGGACGCACGGGGGCCTTGTGACCCCTAGCAGCCCTCCAAGCGCCGAGGCTCCAGGGCCTGGGGTCGGGGCTGCTCACCGGGTCTGCGCCGCTGCCGGAGAGGAGGAGGTCTTTCACGGTGAGGCTGCAGCACGGGGGAGGGTCAGCTAGCTCCGTCTGCTCCTCGCGACAGAGGCCCGGGCTCCACATTTCTGACCAGGGCAGATGGAGACAAAGACACGGAGCGGTCACGTGGGGGCCCCTGAGCTTCCAGCATCAACCTGTCTCCTCCAGGAAGGCCACCAGGATTGACCACGACACGGTAGCGCCCCAAGGCCTGGGTTGAAGGGAACAGTCCCAACCGGGGGCCTTGGTCTTCCCTCTGATGGAAAACGGGAGGCCGATTCATCAGGACGTTGTTGAGGGACCCACCGCCCACCCAGGAAGGAGCGGCCGTGACTGCCCAGGACTGTAGGCTGTCTCCAGCCAGCTTCGCCTCATCTCCCCCTGCGGCCAGGGACCTGGGTCTCATTCGCCTGTGGTTCCCTCCCCTCTGCAACCCGGCGGCTGGAGGCACAGACTTCGGGGTTACGTAGCTCTTGGTCCTGTGCAGAGCTGAGCGGCCTCGGTTCAGTGACTAAACGTCTCTGAGCTTCAGTTGTGTTGACTCTCCAATGAGTCTAATGAGAGCCGAAGGGACAGAGGACGGCCTGCCGGGGGGAGGGGTGTCTTCTGCAACAGGCCCGTCGTCCCCACATCCAGGGGGAGCCTCTGAGGCCCGGGGTCCCGGACCTCTCGCGCTCTCACTGAACAGCTACTAGTATGATCCTGGCACAGGAGCCCCAAAGACGAGGCTGAGGGCATGGGGCCCGGAGCGGGACCCAGCCTTCGGGGCTGCCCCGGCTCAGCAGCTCTGACTCCTCGCTTCGCCTCACGGGGACTCCGTTTCACCGTCCTGGAAATGGGCCCGCGACAGCGCTGGGATCAAGGCAGGGGCAGCGAACGACGGTGCAGAACCCACCCAAGTCTATGGCCACAGACGCGTCCAGCACTTGGGGAACTGGTCCGGGGGCGGCGGCGAGGCAGGGGGGTCCAGGGCGGTAGGGGGGGCAGGGCAGCTCCCCCGGCCCCACAGAATGGCGGCCCGGGGGGGTGGTGGCCGCCCCACCGCGCGGAGGGCTGTCCTGGGGGTCAGAGGGCAGGTCCTCGGAGATGCCGCTGTCGCTGGCTGCGGGAGACCAGATGGGGGAGCTGGGCAGCGAGTCTCCGGAGGCCAGGATGGAGTTTAGGAAGTCATCAGGGTCCGGGCCGGGCAGGACCTGCCGGGACAGGGAGACAGGGTGGGAAGTAAAACCTCTACTCCCGGGCGCCCGGGGGCTCAGTCGGTTGAGCGTCCGGCTTCGGCTCAGGTCACGATCTCCCGGTTCGTGGGTTCGAGCCCCGCGTCGGGCTCTGTGCTGACAGCTCGGGGCCTGGAGCTGCTTCGGATTCTGTGTCTCCCTCTCTCTCTGCCCCTCCCCTGCTTGCTCTCTCTCCCCCAACAATAAATGAACGTACTTGCATACAACCCGTCCCTGCTTTGTTCCTGATCGCTGTGTGACGCTGGGCAAGCCGCTGTTCCTCTCTGGGCCTCACTTACCCTTTCTGCCAGACAGAGGAGCCAGTGCTGCTTCCTCTGCGGTTCTCGGAGCCTCAGCACAATCGCGTAGCATGGGCACCACCCGAGCCCCGAGTGGGGGTTCGAACCCACCCCCACACAGCTGTGCGACCCCGGACCAGTTACTGCCCCTCTCTGGGCCTCGGCTTCCCCGCTTCTAACAAGCAGCTAACGTCGTCCACTCCTCAGAGTAGCTGAGAGGCTCAACACACAAGGATGTGCTTCGCTGAGGGCGAGCACCGTGAGCCCTGAACGCCGCCCCAAGCCGAGTGAGGCTCGGCTCCGAGGCCTGGCGCGTCCTCACCGGGTCGTCGAGGCGGCCCCAGTCCTCGCCCAGCTCTACGTGTCTCAGGACGCCATCCTGACGGTCAAACAGCAGGTCCAGGAGCTCCAGGCTGCCGATGGGGCCCAGGGGACCAGTGGAGGAAGCCATCTGGGGCAAGGAGGGGACAGGCGTGAGCGTCACACAGCCCCCTCTCCTCCCACCCGCCTTCTGCACACGGCCCCACGTCCACGGGCCTCAAGCCCACCCCCCGCTCAGCCCCCGGCCCGGCTCACCGCTGCCCCTGGATCTCCCTTCTCCAGATGGGCTGCGGGCCCCACCGGCTCTCCCGGGACATGGGAGCCGGTTCTTTAAAAGTGCTAGAAGGTTCCTGGGTGGGGTGATCAGCCCGGCCAAGCCCCTGTGGGGCCGAGGAGACTAGTCCCCTCTCCCCCCTCCCATCCCAACTCTCCCCTCCTGGAGGAAAGACAAGAGCAGCCCCGGGATGAACGCGTGATTTCAGGCATGATATGCTTTCTCCGAGCCTCGGTCTTCCCATCTGGACAGTGGGAGGCTCCTTCCACCTCTGGGAGCCTGGGGAGCATTTCCGGGCTAGGCCTCCCTCTCCCAGGCCGCGGCCACGGGCCCGCCCGGCTCACCTTCCCAGCTGCCAAATCCCCATTCATGAGGCCAGCCAGCTCTGCTTCAGGCCGCTCCCCGAGTCTGCTCAGATCCGGAGCTCACCCCACAACCGGGCTCCCGGGCTCCGTGCGCTCCTCTCTGCGGCTCTGTAACCACCCCCAAAAGATGCTGAAATAGCCTCCGGAGTTCCCAGCCCATCCCTGGGTGCCGATTGGGGGCCAGGCAAGATGGACAGGGCGAAGGGCCAGTGATACCAGGGCAGGCTGGGGGAGGGGAGGGAAGACCGTTATCTTGATGTTTTGTGCTTTTCTAGCCGCCAGTGGGCAAAGGCCAAAGTCTGGGGTGCCTCAGCTCTGCCATGACCTCTCCCCTACTTTCAGGGACTGTTTCTCCTCTGAGTCCCGGGATGTTGGGCTCCAGGAGAGCGCAGGACCCCCGACTGGGTCCCGTCTGCTCTTGGGACAGAACAGTCCCGGGAGGAACAGCCCAGGCCTTTGCAGAGGTCGGTTGTCTCTCTGCCAGCAGCTGCCTTCCCCCGGGAGCTGGCAACCTCCCACCCACCCTCCAAGCCCTCCACAGACAAATTTGAGCAGCTCTGCGCTCCTTCTAGAATCTTCTAGCAGTCATTTATTCGCTGAATATTAATTGAGCCAAACCGGTTCCCACCTCAGGGCCTTTGCACTTGCTGTTCCCACTGCCTAGAACTGATTCCCCTCCCCCCCCACCCCCGGACTCCGGATGTCTTCACATGCTCATAAGTGTTTGATATTTGTGAGCCAGCCCAGATGGCTGCGAGGTGGTGTGTGACCCCTGTCCCACCCCCACAGGGGCCCCAAAGGCCTTTGTGACATCACTGTTTTCACTGATTGAAATTTTCTTGTTTGTTCACCTGTATTTTTGTCTTCCTTCATTTCTCTGCTCTCCACCCCCAGGGCCTTATGGGCTAGAAAGGGGCTTCCTTTGTTCTCTGCTGGGTCCCAGCGCGTAGGAAAGTGTACACAATCACTCTTACTCACCAAGCGCCTCCCCTGTGCTCACCACGGGTTTAGGAGCTAGGGAAACAGCGCCAAACAAGCTAGACCATAAATGCATAAACAAATAAACACATAAATGGGCAAGTGCTACCGAGAACCTAACTGTAACCATGGGTGAAAGGCAGCCGAGGACTGGAAAAGCCTCCTTTAAGGAGAAGTGGTTTTTTTTTTTTTTAATGTTTTATTTATTTCTGAGAGAGACAGCGTGAGCAGGGGAGGGTCAGAGAGAGAGGGAGACACAGAATCTGAAGCAGGCTCCAGGCTCTGAGCTGTCAGCACAGAGCCCAATGCGGCGTGAGATCTTGACCTGAGCCGAAGTCAGACGCTTAACCGACTGAGCCCCCCAGGCGCCCCAAGGTGAGTTTTTTAAAGTGAGTTCTAAACCCAGTGTGGGGGCTTTTACACTCAGGACCCCAAGATGAAGAGCTACATGCTCTACCTACTGAGCCAGCCAGGCACCCCTTAAGAAGGTGACGTTTAAGTACAGCCCTGAAGGATGAGAAAGAACCAAGCATGAGAAGACCTGCGGGAAAGGTATTTGAGGCTGAAGAAACAGCACGTACAAACGTCCTGGGGTAGTATCTAGTATCCTGTGGCTTGTTGTGGGAACGGGGAGGAAGCCCATGTGACTAGAGCAGAGTGAGTGAGGGGGAGAGGGGGGGAAGGGAGGGGATGGCGCAGGTGGTGCAGGGACTGGGGAGTCGCGGGGGGGGAGGCTATGGTGAAGGATTTTGTTTATAGTAAATACAGCAAGAAGGTGTTGGCAACTCAGAGAATGGAGGCCTAAAGTGAGCCTTCCGTGTGCCAGGCACGATGCTGGGCATTAGCCTCACAGTGACTAAAACACCCCCCTTCCTTCCAAGTTCACATCTCATTGGTTGTGACATCCCATTGGTTTTTCTCAATGGATCAATCATTTATTCACATAACAAAAATTTAACGAGGGCCAACTGTGTGCCCTGCCCGGAAGGAAGGACCGGGGTCCAGCATGGAGGGGGTGGGGGGCCGGGAAAGCTGCTCAGTGCCCCCCCCCGCCCCCTATGGCGCCCCCACCCCAGACAGTGATCCAGTCCCGATGCCAGCAGTGTGTGTGTGGGTGGGGAGTCCCTGAATCACTGTCCCCTCTGGATGCTGGTGCCATCATCTCCCTAAGCCTCCGGATCTTTCTTACTTCCTCGCTTCCTCTGTACCCACCCTGTTGGCTTTTTAAGGCCATGGCTTGGCTTTAGGGATCCCCGGTCACAATAGGTACCCAGCCTTTGGGGCACACGGCGCGTTCCATACACAGCAGGTGTATGAAGGGGGGAGGTTTGACTCCGGACTTCTCCCTGCCGATGACCCTCGGGAGCCTCAGTGCCCTTGATCGGGCTCTCCCTCCTCCTCGGTCCCAACCCTGGCAGAGGAAGGGGTCCGGCATCACTCACTCAGCCCTTCCTGTAGGTTAACCCCCTCATGCCCCTCCCCAGAATATTGGTATTTACAATTTTTTTTTGTTTTCATAATTTTGGACTTTAGAAGGCATTTATATGCCCCAGTGAAGAGCTATCCGAACCCTAAGATAAGGGTAAGCATTGAAGGACAGGAAAGCTTTCTGATGTCCTTGGCATCATGTTATCTCACTTGCTAAACCCGAATGCGGACTTCAAGGCAATGGGGGCGGGGTGGGGGCCGGACTGCAGAGCAACATCGCGGGTGATCCCCCCCCCCCCCCCCCCCCCCGCGGTGGGCAAGTGCGCAAACCGCGAAATCCCCACGAGACGAAGGCGGGGGTTAACCGGCCCTTCTCTGCGCCTCGGCCACGTTCTAGGGGCAGGAGCCCGGCATTTCCCGGCGGGTCAGTAGCGGAGAGTTTCAGAGTTTCCTGCTTGATGTTTACTCGGGCCACTCGGAGCCGGAGCCTTCACCGACCTCAGGCGGCGGGCGTCCCGTGGGAGCCGTGGAGTGAACGTGGAGTGACAGCCGCATGTGCCGTGCTGCGGGTGAGGGGGAGGGGACGTGTGCTGCGGGGGGGG